CGTCTCTATGTGCAGAGCAGTATGACAGTGTGGTTAAGTGGGGATTCTGGAGCCAGGCTCCCTGTTGAAATTCTGGCTTTGTTATTTACCAGCTTGTGTGGCCTTGGGGAAGTCACTTAACCTCTGCGCATCATTTTCTTCATCTGTAAAATAGGAGGGATGATAATTTATATGGCTGTCATGAGGATTAATAGTTTCATTTACATTAAGAGTATGGAAAAGTATCAGCACATGGTATGTCCTATCTGTGGTGATAGTGTTATTAAACCTCTGTAGGAGAATTATCCATTGACTTGTTTATATGCCTCATACCTCTATTGGACTCTGTCCTTTTGGGGGGTAGGATTTTTACCTTTTTTACCTGTTTTTACCTTTGTATTCCCATTGCTTTGTACTGTCTGCCTTTTGCATAGTAGTGTGAAGACGATAATTCTTCAACAGTATATCTGGATATATCTCCCCTGTGAGTCTTGCTTAAATTTAATTCCCAGAGCAACTGGATTTCAGGAAGGACTGCCTTATACCAGTGGACTGGCTGGTTGTGCTTGTTCTGACATAAATATAGCTCACTTCCATAACTGACATTGTAAAAGTAATTCTATTAACACTTCTAAAGTAACAGGTAGACTTCAGCTCTTAAGTCTGTGTGTAAGAGGAGTTATAATTAAATAGTTACTGTTTTGAATTTCTCTAATGAAATGAACTTTTAGTGTTTCATTAGCATTATTTAATTATGGGTGCTACAGGTTAATTCTTTGATATAAAAACATTGCTAAGTAAAACCCAGTGTAATTTCTTGCAAGTTATAATGTGAATACATGTGAAGACATGTTATGCTTACCTTGCAGTTTAGGCAAATGGAAAGGATGTGATGTGGGTGGTACTTGCAGCGTCTTTACTGTGGACAACCTTGCTCTCTGGTAAATGTCCTTCCTCTACCATCACCGTAGAATATGGCCATGGTGGCTCTGACTGGGATCTTTTTCTTGTTTGTCTGCAATTTCTAATAATTGAGTAGAAATAGAGATACCCTTGCCTAAACTAGATTTCTTGCTCATAATGTTTTATTCGCCTGATCTTTCTTTTTGCGTTTAAGAGAAATGTTGTTTATCATCACACAATTTGATACTTTAAAATTCAACAATAAACTTTAAAAACTTAGTTTCAAAATTCAAGGCCTATGTAATCACATGTGAATCAACTTTATTTAAAAGGTTTTAAAACCTTTTAAAACAGTACGTTGATTTTGTGCATCTGGTCATTGCTTAGAAACTGTAGACAATTAGGGAATAGTGTGTTTCATGTGGTTTTTAAGTCAGTGGAAGGTGTTGAGTTTTCCAGTTCAGAATTGCACACTTGGTAAGAGATGGAGCCAAGAAAAAAGCATGAGCTGGCTCATTTTGCAGCTTGGCGTATATTACTGTCAGAAAATATAAGTTCCTTGCCTCAATAATACTTTTGACCTCATCATTACTTTTTTTTTTTTTTTTAAATGAGTACAAATCAAATAAAAGGAAAATCAAGAACCCAGACACTTGAAGTTGAAAATAAATTATCTTTCGAACTTCTCCTTTAGTTTTTGGAATTATCTATTATCTGAACTAGTTGAGAACAATATTTTTTGCATAATCTTTTTTCATTATGGTCCCAAAAGGTCTGTGAAATGATCATTCAAGCATTCTCAATTCCATCCAGGATTGAAATAGATACTTCTCTCTTAACACAGAAATACTGACTAATCAGGTTGTCTCTGTCACCGTGTGATTGCAGTGCTCCAGGGAAGAATTTGAAATTGCTATCAACAGACCGTTTTCTTGAGTTCTTTTCGAGGAGGGATATCTAGATTCTAACAGCTGCCACTTTTGTTCCTGAAATTTTACCTTTTTCTTTTCTGAGATGTTCAACATGGAAATTGCCAACATACGGTTAAGTGTTTAACCGTATGTCAGACACTGTTCTAAGTGCTTCATCTGTATTAACTCATCACTTCCTCACATTAATCCTGAGAGATGGGTTCTGTTCCATTAATAGATAAGGATGCTGATGTACAGAGAGGTTATGGAACTTGCCCAGAGTCATGCCACTGGTGGACGTAGGATGCTTAACCCAGGTAATCTGCCACTAGAGCGCCTACTGTCACTTGGCTGTATTGTCAAGAATAGCTTACAAAGTGGGCTACTGTGTTCTTGTTTGGGGATGGGAATTATAGTGCATTCACCGTGACCTCTGTGAAAGGACAAGGCAGCTTTCCTCTCTCAGTCAAGGAGCAAGGCCATTGGAAGCAAAGAATGGCCTAGGAAGAAATGGTTGGTTGTGGGGGGTTGTCAAGAGTTTCCTAGGACAAAGCTTCCAGGTAGAAACTCAGAGGAAGGATATCTGTTACAGGTTTCCTAAGCATCCTGATCCACTGTATAAACTACCCGCCTTTCTCAACTCTGCTGTGTAGGAATTGCATCTGTGCCTTCACATCCGGCATAGCATAAGGTCTTTATATACTGTATGTAGAAAAATAAAGAAGTGTTAAATGGAATGCTTTTCTCTAAGTCTTGGGGAGAGTACCCGCATTCACCTTGGCTTAACCTTATCCTACAGGTCTGCTTTCTGTCTTTGTCTTCTCATAACATTTGATATAGGTGTTATGATTTCTCTACCCTTAGCCAGAGCTGGGCACTCTCAGATAAGTGCCTCCTTTGTCTGGAAGGCCAGTCAACTTTTCCACCTTTATGAGCTGTACTTGAATGACAATAATTAAAATCATTTATTGAGTTACCTAGTGTGTACCAGGCACATCCTCATTTAGTCTTTTAACAACCCTATGAGGTTGTTAATTATTTCGTTCTCGGGAAGGATAAGTGATTGGCCAAGGCCTCACAGCTAATTGCTGAAGTCTAGCTCTGATGAAGCCTTTGCTTTTCTCATTGATGAATAATTCACTAAGGAGGCTCTCTTCATCTTTCTTCCTGAAAGGCCAGAGCAGAACCATTCTTAAGCTGTTAGACCTTTCCACTCTCTTAAATTGAAAGGACCTGTCAAGTAGAATATGAGCTGATCCTCAAATTTTATCCCTCTTGTAGGAAGAGGTGTTAATCTGTAAGTAGCAACTTCTTTCCGGAGCATGATTTATTTTTTTTAAATAAGATTAAAAAACAAAAACTCAGTTTCTTGTGTGTGTATTTGTATTTTTGTTTAAAAGCCTCTCTGAGGCTTGAGGCCTATGGTCTTCAGAATTGTCCTTGGTATTAGGACATTAGTGAGTTCTTGAGTCACAGTGGTGCAAAAAGTGACCTTCATGTTTGGAGACCTATTTGCTCATGAGTGCTTGCGTTGATAAGTGTTTGGGCTTGGAGTTTCATGAATGGGGAGTTACTATAATAATTCTTGGGGTCATGTCTAGGCATGGGGCCACAGTTGTTCTCTTAAAAAAAATGTTCTGACACTTGTTAAAATGGCAAAGAAGACTTTATTCAGGTCTATGGCTATAGGTGTCAAGAGTATCACAATATGGGAGACAGATCAGGCTCAACTCAACACAACAAGAACAAGTGGGGTTTTATAGCAAGGAGCAGGTTGTGGGGCTGAGTGTAGGCAGATGGAAAATTACTAAGAGGAGAGCTTGGAGGAGGATTTCGGTGAAGGCAGGCCTAGGACTTATGCATCAAACATGGGAGTGGGGGATGAGGAATCTGATCATAGCCAGGGTGGAGATTCTCTTTAAATTGACTTGACAGGATTGCTAAAACAGGGCTATATATGGAGGCCCAGTGAGGAAGGAGAGCCAAGGTAGAGGGCCTAGTCAAGAAGAGGGCTCAGGAAAGCCTGACTAAAGGTTGGTCAAGGAGAGAGTCTCTGTCAGATCCTATTGCTTGAATTAAATGTCAGGGTTCAGGTATTGGATTTGAACCCATGGGAGAGACCATTCAATGAAGTGTAGAGTGGATTCCAGAAAAATAAGTTTAGCTGCTGGTGCAGACTTCTGTGGAAGGTTTGGCATGGATGATCAGAGTAGCTCTGAGAGGTGGGACCTCGAAAGCTTCCCTGATGCTGCACTGTCAGATTGATTTATTTAAATTTATTTTAAATTTTATTTAATAAACTTAAATCGTGTTTAAGTCCCAAGTTCTGTTCTAAACCCTTTGCAAATATTAATTTACTTAATCCTCAAAACAACTCTGAGGTGGTTATGCCTTTGCTACTCACTTTTTACACATGAGGAAACAGAGTCCCAGAGGAGTTCAGTAATTTGCCCAAGGTCATGTAGCCAGTAAGTGATGGGACTTGGATTTCAGCCCTGGCAGTCTGGCTCCAGAGTCTGCATTCTTAGTCACTCTGTGAGGTTGCATCCCAGGCTTTTGTGTCCCAAGGATTTAGTTCTCATTATTCTGGGCTTTTCTTTATTCTCCCCGGGAATAAAGAAGAATTAATCTTCGGGACTTAGTCACACTCTGGACTTTGTTCAGACCGAAGTCAAGATTCCATTTAGCTTGAGGTCTCCTATAAATCATAAGATTATTTATAAACAATCTTCCAGGTAGACTTTCACCTTAGGAGATCAAAACCAGCAGTTTATTGGTAAAATCATTTTCTCGTGCTCCACTGTCTATATAGAGTAATATCAGTGACCCTGTCTAATCAAAGGTTGGCAGCTTTTTTCCTTTTTTCCCCACCAGCAACCTCAAAAACATTCCTTTTTATTTATTTTTTATGCTTCGTTTATAGGGAATGAATGGTAATTCCTCGATAAAGGCTTTGGGAAGTTGGCTTCCAGATAATAAGACTGGCACCAACACTTTCTTAAAAGGACAGATCCCCTTGAGCAGAGCAGATCCAGTTCCTAAAATATTTCTTTAGTAGTCTCTTTTAATTCTGCTTATATTTGTCAAACTGGTGTTTTAAAGGCTCTGGCTAATGTAGTAGTAACATCAAAGGTATATAATATTACATGTGGAAACTCGAGTATTCCATGATACCTTTAACTCATAACTTTTAACTTTTAATTACAGATCTGTCTATGGCAGTACAGAAATTTTCCCAGTCACTGCAAGATTTCCAATTTGAATGTATTGGTGATGCTGAAACAGATGATGAAATTAGTATCGGTGAGTACCACAATTCTTCATTATCCTAAGTAATAATTTTAAAAGTCCTGGTTCCAATATTGATTTCATTGAAATCAAAATAAATTCATGTACCCAAGTATTAAACATGTAAAATATTCAGACTTTGATAAAAAGTATAGGGTGATTTTTGGTCACTGTGGAAGAGAGTATTATAAATTGTTTTGAAATTGAGCTCTACGGTTTCTACGTAAGGAAATTACTTAATCATTCTATAATTCAGCTCAAGGCTTTGAGAAGACGTAGATAACAGTGTTCATCTCTGTCTCAAAGTTAATCATTCTTTCAAGCTAGTAGATATTGGGTATCTGTTATTAAATATGCAGGGTACTGGTTTAAAGAATTCTTTTTTTTACTTAATACTGATTTCTCTTTTAACATGAGTATTTGTTTACCTAGGAAAAAAATCATTCATGACGTATGAAACCAGTATTATTGTAGGACACAGAACATTACAGGGACAAGGAGACTTGAGCTCTAATCTGACTTTGCCACAGTAATTTAGCAGTCTGACCCTAGGGAAGGAAGGCATACCTCTTCCTGAATCACATGGTTTTATTTTCCATAAAGTGAATAGGTTGGGTTATGTGATCTCTGAAGTTTTATCTGTATCTGAGTTTTTACTCTTTAAAGATCGGATTTATGTAGCATTCTTCCACATTTTAACAATGTCTGCTTGCCAGTTTGTAGACGTGGAAGCTATTTGTAGGCTGGATTAGAGACATGCCATATAATCAGAAGACTATAAAATATGAGTACACATTTTAGAGAATAATACTAAGTATACTCACCTTCTGGGTATAAAAGTAGAATATTACAAGTATCTAGAACAGTGACCCTCAAACTTTAATGTACATGTGAAACACCTGAGGTTCTTATTTAATGCAAATTCTGATTCAGAAGATCTCTGTGCAATTCTGCATTTCCACCAGACTCGAAAGTGATGTCGACTCTGCTGGTCCTTGGACCACACTTTGAGTAGCAGAGATGTGATCTCTGATGTGCCTCTTCACAATCACTTTCCTCTCCTTCCTCTGCCATTTCTTCTATAGTTTTCTGTTATATGCATTTTTAAGCAATATATTTTTATTATTTTTGAGAACTGAAGTAGCAAGTCCAAACCTAGCTGTGCAAGGAAAAGGCCATATTATCTCTACGGAGGAAAAGCTCTGAGCAGAAGATAACCTGAATGAATTTCTGATTTATCGTGTATGGCGTTATTTAGTTTGCTTATATTCATGAAAGTTTCTCCTGGAGAAATCATTGGGCAGAGTGCAGAGTCCTTAGACAAGCCATTTCTGCATACGGGATTCGCATTATGCATGTGCATCATTACAAGTCCCGAGGAGCCATGCCAGGTGCTCACCTGATTAGCTTGCTCTTTTAGGGGCATTAGTGACTCTGAAGGGGATGTGGAAGTGGCTGGTCTCTTGGAATCGTGAGTGGCTCCTACTCTCAGTTCTGCGATGAAAGGTGACTGAGCCGTGTCTGTCCTTGACTAAGGAGTGGTTAGAGAGTCTTTGGGAAGAAGGGAGAGGATGGCCACAGGGTCTCAAGCAGCATGGCTTCTTTCTCTTTATAGGATGAAAGGGAAAGGGCAACAGCAGTGATCATGCACCACTGACATTTGGAACAATAATTGTCATTTCGTGTACCACTTCTTGACATTTGTCATAAATGTCTAGCCCCCAACATAGGCTTTGTAACACATACCTAGCCAGCCAAAAGCCTAGATTATATTACTAAAATATTAATAGATTAGCATTATTATTTAGAAAAAGGACACCCACATACTCACATAACTGCAGTTATTTTGACTTAGTAATGAAACCTGTAAATTCTCAAAAGGCAGAGGTCAGATCTTTTTTTAAAAACCGTTTTAGCTTTTGTGCCTGATCCAGGGTCTGACTTATGATAGACCCTCAGTTGTTGAATAAATGACAGTTTTCCTTATTAACTTTTTTCACATATATATGTATATATATACACATATATATATTTCTAATAAGGTTATATACATGTGCATATAATTTTTTTCTTTGTAAAGAGGATTATAGCAAATGCTAATGGGTGTTCATAAATATTATAATTATAATTTTTAATAATTTCATCAGATTCATATATACAAATTTACTAAATAATCTTTATAGTATATTCAGGTTGCTTCTAGTTGGTCTTTTACTTGTTATTAACAGTAAACATTTCTGCATATTTCTCTTAATTTCCATTATGCTTCTTACTTAAAATACCTTCTTGAAGTCACATGTAGTAATGGCAAAGGTAGAGTTTTTTAATTAATATGCTATATAGCTGTCCAGGCAAATGTCTGGTGATTTTCCGAGCTAGTATTGAACTTGATATCTCAACATTGGTCTGTTTATCTCTTTCCACTTAGGTGAAGTAGATGTTGCTGTGGCTCTTATAAATTTGATTTGAAAGGTGCGAATTGATCAGTAGGTGAAGGCTTATATGCAATGAATATTAAATTCTAATGCTTAGAGGGCTTTGAGAAGTTAGATCAAGATGAATACTATATAGTGGTAGGCGTAATATTGTTTGCTACTTTTAAATCAGGAGACTCACTTAGCTCCTGTTACTGGGAAGCTGACTTAAACAACAATGCTTTGTTAGGAAAACCTAACTTAGAGTAAAAAGATTTATAAACAAATTATTTCTAAAACAACTAAGATATAGATATCTTACCATCCAACACTTTTATCCTCTTCCTGAGCCCCAAGTGTAGTCTAAACAGTTAAAAATAACTGTAATAAAACAGTAGGAGACTTTGAATAATCATCCCTAACATGGAGGGCTTACGAGGATATCGCAAGCTGTTGTACAAAGGACAGTGTCCCTGAGACTAAACGGTAAGGTTGACATGGTTGGAGGGCAAGACCAACCTTACCCACTTTCGTCACCTTTAGTTCTGCATGAGAAGGTACAAAGTTTCAGTCATCTTTAAAATAGTTTGTTGAAGCCCCAGTTTCAGCTTCTGTATTCCTCTGATTTAATAAGAGGAATGAAGTAGGAACAGCTATGACCCTGGGCTTTGAGTAATAGTCACAACCCTCTCAGCCAGAGTAGTAGTCTTGAGACTTCACCAATGTCACCACTAAAAATGGTGACCTACCAGACAGAACTCATCTTTCGTAAGAGAGCAATGTCAGTGCAAAATAACTCGTAAAGTCAAGACATTTGCAGACTTTCTGTAAGTTATGGTGGTGGGAATGGGTCGGAGGGCAGTAGAAAGATGAATAAGATGTCTGCTTTCAATGTTCTTACAGTGGAATAGGGTGAAAAAAAGATTCTGAGCAAAGGAAAAGAAGGTGTGATTACTATATCAACATGATTACCTAATTAGTGGAAGCTGTTCCAGGAGCTTTTTAGACATGTAGGTCTGTAAGTTGGCCCCACTCTTCAGCTGTCCCCTTCTGCTCCCACCTTTTTGGCCTTGTGCTTGCTGACTTTTCGGCTAGTTTTTTGGAACCAGTGAGACATTGCTGGCTTAGAAGGAAGCAAAACGAGAATAATTGTCTGGGACGCGGTGAGGAATTCCTGTGGCTTGGGGAGCAGGTTAGTTGTTTCCAGAAATAAAATCCCAAGCAGGGCAGCATCCCGTACTCTTCCTTTAGCATGCTCCTGTCCATTCAAGAGCAGCAAGGTGTCATTGCCCCTTCCATTTCTAAGAATGAATGAGTTGCAGGTAAGCTTTGATGGTTCCCTTTTATCTGCCCACTGTAGCACTGGCCTAGTGGGAAGCAGCTTGTTGGGTCCATCCAGTTTAACTTCCAACAGCTGCTCTAATTGGCCACTTTTTATATTGCTTCAGTTTTTTAAACTGAGTAAAGACATGGAGTTAAGAGTAAGTTAGGAGTTGTGTGACTTGGACACTTGGGAAGATTCAGTCTTTCTCCAATAATTATATGGGTAGACTAGATACAAAATGTACCATTATTTAACTATAATTGCACAGTAATATGTATGTCAGTGCAGAAAGCCAATATCTACTGAATCAGCCGTGGTGCTTGCACATGCATGAGAATCAATAATTTTCAAAGTGAGTCATGAGCCTAGACTTAAAATCTTACTAGTAGGAAATAAAAGGCTATGGCCACCTAAAATAAAATACTGTTCCTTTGAAAACAGTTTATAGTGGTTTATTTAAATAGAACCTCAAAGATATTTTTGTGAATCTGCCATGAAATGGGTTGTTTTGCTAGTTTAATTTAGCACATGGGAATGTAGAATAATAAAAGGCTGTAAACCATAGCGTGTCACATTCAGAAATTATGTCCAGACCAAAGCTGGGGCATGCAAGTTACTGTGTTTTGTTCCTGTATTTAGTGTCTATAATTCGAAATCACTTTTAGCCAAGTGTTAATTCTAGATTTTAAAAAAATCAGATATTTTAATCAAGCTGAACTAGTGCCGCTAAAAATATTAGTCATTGATAAGAGGCAAAGCTTGTTCATTCTGTGTAATTTTGGAAACCACGGGAAAGTCCAGTTGCAGTTGTACATAAACAGTTTCTGTGATGGACTATGTTAACTCTCAGGAAAGTCTTGGACAATGTGAACCTTGCACTCAAGAGATTAAACATTTACCGAGAAGGAGAGTCAGTTTGCTAGTAAATATTTTAGGTGAGGACTTCATTCCTTTAGATATACCTAAACAGAAAATTCCTGTGGTAGAGGCAAACAACACACAAGCATTTGTCAACTGTTATGGCTCCAACGCTGAGAGGAGAAACGAGGCCATCAATTAGATCATTCAGATCAAAATGTGTTTCATAATAATTGCCCAGATGTTTTTGATATAACTAAAGTATTCCTGTTCAGGTATTTACTCTGTTTGAATGTAGATATGCAGATATAGCAATATTGATGGTTAGTACTTAATAGTTCTTTAAATGAAGAGCATGTTGTATCTTAAACACTTTTATGTGGAAATCTGTGTATAAACTATATGTGTACAGACTGATA